TATATAAAGTTTGTTCCACTTAAGAAGTCAGCATAGAAAAATCCTCTTTCAGGTTGCACTCGATCGAAATGTGTTTCGATTGGGTATTGAATTATTCCATTGACGATGTAAGTTGGCCCAACATATTCATCACTAAAGATATTTAAATTTTTTTAAATGAATTTTTTTTTATTCTTAAAATGATAATAACTAGATTTCTATTTATTTATATTACCCTATAACTTTACCAGACCAGGAGATTAATTTGGCAAACACAGACATATTTTCTTGATCGTTATAACTTGTCCCATTCATGTACGTTAACAGTACATAATTGGGAATCCAGCTGTATACCCTTAAAGCATAGCTCCCTTTAATCCTGTGATATCCCATTTCAACCCTATGACAAAACAAATTAACAATTCAAACGCTTTTATGTTTTTTGAAGAAAAATATGTTTTCTTATTTTAAAATCATGTTCCTCAAGTTACCTGCAAAAATTCCACTCGGGTATGCCTAATTCTTCTTGACTAATATTTAATGGTGATACTGTGCCATTTTCATATATAATCCTCAACCTTAATTCTGGCTCTCGGCACCCGTTGCCAAGTTGCTTGATAACACGAACTAAAATAGTTCGGTCTTTGTAGGTTTCGAGTTGTGATGCCTCTGTTTGGTTAGATTCAGTGTAGATAACATCCGCTATGGAATGGGGAAAACAAAGAATTAGAATAAATATTATAAATAATATTGTATTGATTTGAGGATAATTTGAGAAATTCATTTTTATAAATAATAAAGTAAAGAATTTATTATTATTTTTGTTTTTTATGAAAAAAAAATAAAAAAAATTAAAATTTTATAAAAAAAAACAACGCGTTAAATTGAATTTTAGACTATTCCTTTGTATCGACGTTTTTAGGTCTTTATTCATTCATGTAATAACTTTAAATTTTATAAATTAATTGTTGAATAAATCTGTATGACGTTTGACAAAAAAATTTAACTATGAATGGATATGGTAACACCCCCCCTTTTTTTTAAATTTTAACGTGCGGTAGCTTCGCACAAACTTTATGCAAAATTTTACAAAATTACAAATTGGATATGGTAACACCCTAAATTCATGAATTCTGCACATTTATTCTTTTTCAGTTAAATGACAATGCAAATGAACTCCCATTTCAGTTGTTTTAGAAAGAATGGCACAGTTTGCATTAGTTCAGCCGCGCTTGCCATATTCGTTATGAGAAAAAATTATTGGAGGAAACAGGAAAAAGAATTCAATTATTTGAAATAAAAACAAACAAATGTGCATACATATGCAGGATCTAGCATAATAAACGAGTACAGCAGTTTATGAGATTGTTGTATTCAGTTCTTTCATTTATGTATTTATAAACAAATTTTGTAAGCAAGCAGAAGGTTTTTATTGAGTAATTATGACAAAATATTTATTTAATAATATCAAATTAATCAGTGTTGCCTCAACGTCGGCGCTCTACACTTTCGCAATGTCAATATATTAAACTAAATAAATCCAATCAATAAAACTCTAATTAATTAAAACTGCGAAATTACGAAACAATTACAAATAAAATTGAATAATAAAATAATAAGAAAATAGGAAATTAAAAATAAACGAAGTTATAAAATACGAAATCTAAAATGTTAAACGGCGAAAGCGAAAATATCACGAAGAGGTTAAAGGGGAACCTGGCAAATGATCTTCAAAAGACTAACTGCAAATATCGAAAGCGGAATTATGGCGAAAATACATTCAGTGTAACAATATATTCAAAGACATTAGAACCTTGTAGATCAATTTTGGCCAACAAGCCAGTGATACGACGGAATAAATTTTGACGCTGCCGTATAAACATGAAATTGTAAAGAGTGTCGTAACCTTACTACTTTGTGCACTTGTTTCATTACTATTTCTTCTCTTTGTTGAACATTTTTAGCTACGTACTAGTTTATCTAATATAGAATTTGTATCATTGAACTGTTCAAAAACTGCGCAGCCGCTCATTTCTTAGTTGTCAATTATCAAAATTATTTGTATGCAAGTATGCATCCGAAGACAAATTGTCATAAATTTAGCATTTTTTAAGACATCAACTCATTTTTTTTTCTTCCCAGCAGTTTCCTCCTTTCCTATTGCGAATATCTAAGAAAAATTATACTTATCCTGGTAAAATTGGAAACTCTCGGGAGTGTACTAACAAAAAAAAAAAAAAAAAGCGCGAAATATATTTTTTCTTAAAGCCCTTGCATTTGTTCAAGTTAGCATAGTAAAATATTTCGTGAATTTGTCTTCAAGTTATAATTTATTATTAGTATATTATTTTATTTAAAAATATATGCTTTCTACATTATCCGAAACCAAACTTCAAGGTTAATCTCGAACCTTCGACCTTTATCGGAACCAGGTGGTTCAATGACTTTTAATAACCAATCAGCGTTTTCTTTGAAGTGCTCATGAAGAAAACTTATAGCTTAGAAGGCTTAAAAAAAATAAAATAACCTACCCCGCTTTTTAATCATGAAATAGAGGAACTTACGAAGGAAGGCGTTCAGAAGTTTGTGATTACCAGAGAAATACTTTCGATTCCTAGTCTTTGCGGAATTCTCTCAAAGAGATAATATAAAACACTTCTATACAAAAAAAAACAAATTCATGCATCTTTGTCCACTCGAAGTTTCTGGAATTTGGAGAGGATGTGCATAATTTATTTAGGAAATTTAAATCGAGAACAAATTGTACAATAACGCAAAAGGCCCGAAAGGTTTATTATTTTTTTTTTCAGCGAATTAATTGGGTAATTTGTAGTAGAAAAGGAGGAACTGTCAGAAAAGCAACAAAAAAAATATTTTTTTTAGTAGTTGCCCCATTTATTGAATAATAAAAAAATATGCGAACTTAAAAGAATTAAATTGGGAATAGGCGATTTGCTTAAAATCACAATTTAATTTTGGCTAAGCGAGCAGAGCAGAATATAAATTTATCTAGCGAAAAATTTAAATATATATTATAACCATTGTTTTGATTTTGTTAAGTGTTGAAAGACAATAATATGATAATTTACAAACTAATGACACAACGGATTGTCATACATGATCTGATCACAAAATTGGCTAATTTATTTAAAAACGTATAAATAAGAGTAATTTCCACTTTTTTTTTTTGCCTTTTTAATACTGGCGTAATCGACTTAAATACTGCGGAAAATTATAACCGTAAATTACGGGGGAAAAAATAATGTCCAAACTGAATAAAGATATTCTTTTCTTGTTATTTGAGGAATTACAAGATGATTCGAAATCACTCTTTCAATGCTTATTAGTCAATAGACTTTGGTGTGAGACTTCGGTTCCGATTTTATGGAGGAATCCTTGGCGTTACGAAGATAATGTGAATTATCAAAGCAAAAATTCCTTGTACAACATTATCACTTGCTCTTTATCCGATGATATTAAAGAATCTCTAAAAAGTCAAGGGATGCACTTGCCTTCTATTTCACATTTATTTGATTATTTATCTTATTGCAGGAGTATCAATGTGACCGTCATAAACGATATAATCTCTATTGGTGGATTTTCGATTTTTAATCAATTTCTTTTACAAGAAGAAATTTACAGTCTCTTTATGAGGAAATGTCAAGAGATAAAGTTCTTTGACATGAGATCGATTAAACATCAATTATTTTACTTTCCCGAGGCAAAGGTTCGTCTCGAGCCACTCTGTGAATTAAAATGCGACACAACGGTTGACCCAACGTACTTTTATGGATTGTCTCGCATATGTAAATCAATACAAAGGCTCGTTATTGTCAATACAAACTTGGAAGCAAATAATGGAATTGTCAAGTTGATTGAAAATCAAAAGAATCTGAAATATTTTGAATGGAAAGATGATTTGAGTAACTTGGATTATTATCCTATTAAAGATGTATATATAGGCACTTTTCTGGAACTATCGAACAAGGCTGATACCCTAATTCAACTTGTAACACATTTTAATGATTACTCGGAATACAGTTATGAAGATGGTCACCTACAAGAGATAATTTCAAAATTTTACAATTTAAAAACATTAAAAATTTTTCCTTCTTGTTATGGTCCATTTGATTATAAATATCATAACCTTGAGGTGCTTCAAATAGGTTATATTTTGATTGACACAATTACCTGTATAATTAAGAGCAGCGGAGGTCGTCTCAGGAAAATTTTAATCAATGAATATGATATTTATGAGGACAAGTTTTATGAAAACACTCTCATCCTTATTCGGACAATTTATGAGAATTGTCCTCTAGTTGAATATTTGTCCCTCATATTTTCACCATCAAATCAACATTTTTCCGAATTTGAAATATTATTACAAACTTGTCAAAGATTAAAAGTGTTATTATTAGAAACCGAAAGTTTATGTGCAAAAAAGAGGTTTATGTCTGGGGAAAAATTATCACATGCATTGGTTAGGTCTGCACCAAAAAGTCTGAGAGAAATTGGAATTTTTTATCAATTTAAATTTTCACCTAAAACTCTAGAGGAATTTTCAGAGGGTTGGAAAGGTCGACCTGCAATTACTATCCTTGCACCAGATCATGATTATAAAGAAGAAAAATATACGAAAATTATTGACAAATATAAGGTTGATGGTGTGATTAAGAATTTCTTGTGTGGGTTTTTAATAGATTTTATTTTCGATTATTGAGCATAGGTTATGTTCATCTTAAATGTTTTTTTTTTTTAATAATTCGCTACAATGATTTTAATCAAGAGTATTTATCAATATCACCTGTTTTCAACACTAATTATTGTTATTTTTATTTTTTTTTTTTTTTAAAGAAAAAAAAATGAATTAATGTACAAAATTTTGTTAGGTATCTTTACCCATTAATTATTTTACAAAAAACTTCCGATAGACCATAAAAATGACAAGAATCCCTGGGATCTTGTGACCATAAATGATTTTTTTAATTTTTTTTTTTTTTTTCAAAAATAAAAATTTATGCGCCTTAATTAATTATTGGTCGTTGCCTGTTTCGATTGAGTAAAACGATGTCCTATAAAACATCAAACGAAAAAAATAACGTTAGAAATATATAAACTATTGCTCGCTTTTAAATATAACGAACATTTTTTAAATTTGTATCACTATCTAATAATTAAAAAAACAAAATCTTAATAAGGAAATTGCACACGCACTTAAGATTTTAATACTACTTTTGGTTGTTCTAAATAATTTTCTGAATATTTATTTTCTTGGTAACACACAAATAAGCGCACCGCTTGGAAAGGTAAATAACATTCAAATGCGATATTTGGACCATGATGATTATATCGAAGTGAAGAATATAAATTCGAAGGTAATGGCGAGAACGATGGATATTTGGATGGCGGGAGAGATTTGTCTATTATTTTAGTTCTAATTTCGTGCCTGGCCTTCCCACTATAAATGGTTTTTATGTTTAAATATATTTAACAATGATGATAGGAGTGCAGTATATCATAGCATTATAAGTTCCGTCTTAAAACAAAATGTTCCCGAGTTAGTCGCCCGATTTATGACATTTTTTATGGAAGCAAAAAATACAGATAAACATCAAGAAATGATTGCCTAGTCTCCGAAATATTTTGCACAGATTCTTTTTCCGATTCTTTATAAAGAAATGGTCAATTAATGTTAATGGGTAATTTTTCTTTTCTTTGTTATATTATAAGCAGTGCAAAAAAATTTCTTCTATCAAAATTATTTGTGTTTTTTTAATTTGATTAAAATCATCTTTTATAATGACGTGTTATATTTGACAAACTTTTTTTCCTTAAAGAGTGATAATAAGACTATTATTACATATTCATCACGTCAGCGATTTGAAAAATGAATAGTCGTGGCGTGTTTCGAGACGTTGCAAGATTTGGCGAGAAGTCAAATTAAATGACGCGTAATTTATGTTGTTTGATGTTTATGCTTATGAAAATAAATAAATAAATAAATAAAGTGCGTCATAATGAATTAAGATTATCCTGAGGATATCTAACTTTGATAATCACTAATATCGGTTCAATATATTTTATCTTTGTGATATTCCAGATCGATTGGATTTATATTCGAGATCACTGTTAATTAAAACACAAACAGAAAATAAAAACCTGTAAAGTGATTGATAATATTTATTTATATAATTAAAACAAAAAAAAATTTAAATAAAGGATAAATATAAAAAAGGCTTTTATATAAGTATGCCTTGTTCATCGCAAAAGTTTTTAGCCTTAGGATGATCTTCCGCGGCAGCACTTTTTAAATATTGGGCACCTAGTGCCTTATCTTGTACAATACCATTGATACCATTCCAATAAGCTTTTCCAACGATAAAC